TGCTGACAGGCATTCTGAAATAAATTACCAAAATAATTGAAACTGGCGTGATTATATCGTGTTATTTTGACAAATAAAATATGCAGAATTTTAAAATATTGTGTGCAGAATTTTTAATTTTTTTGGCAGAGAATGCACCCAGGAGTAAGACTTCAGGATTATGCACTTATCTGCTTTATCCTAAGGATGCTTGTGCAGTACAAGGCAAGTTGCTCACTGCAATGGTTTAGAGCACAGCTCTGTGACTGGGATTTTACTTGGAAATACTGATACTATGATTGGTCCTTGACTGGGGCTGCTGGGCCCTATGATAATACAAGGAATAAATTATTGCCTGTAGCATATTGGTAAAGCAGAATGTACGGACTAGTGAGGTGGTCTCTACTGAAGGTGGGATGCATAAATGTTAATGATTCTCACTTAAGTCCATGCTTGAATTGGGAAGAAGGCATAAGCCATGTGCACAGAGGTAAAAATTAAAGCGTGAGTAGAAAAATCTAATGTAGAAGTAGGTTATCTCCCAAGCAATGTCAACAACAAATACATCTTCCATGTTTATTTTTTAGATTTATCTCACTTAATCCAAAACTTTGGACACATTTATGTTTAATATTATTTCAAATGCTCCATCTTACTTTAATTTGCATTTGCACCACAGACTCTTATCCAGTCAAAGTTATTTCTTTTTCATATATATTTATAGTATTACTGAATGTCAGTAAATACAGCCTAAAAACCAAACCAAATGCCGGCAAAGGATATCCAGGCTAGTGAGGATCATAACATTTCTGACAAAAGAGTTAAGGGGTACCATTTTTAATAGTACACATTACATGCATCCGACGAAGTGGGCATTCACCCACGAAAGCTTATGCTCCAATACATCTGTTAGGCTTAAAGGTGCCACAGGACTCTCTGTTGCTTTTTACAGATCCAGACTAACACCGCTATCCCTCTGACAATAGTACCTAAGTTACTTTTGAAAATGATGCTTAGACGCATAAGTCATTTAAATGCTTTAAAAATGTTTACCCAAGATTTCCTTTTAGAATTATAGGCCTGTTCTACTTTAAAATGTCTATTGCTGATTCCTTCTCTATTGGTTACATTACATTTGGCTAAATAGCGCAAAACTAAGAGTTTGGGACAGATCCTCAATTAGTGTAAACTGTCATAGGTCCATTGATTTCTATGGAGCTATGACACTTTATATCAGCTGAGGATCTACCCTTAGACATTTATATAATGTCTGTGTATGTATATGTGCATGTGTGGGTGTACATATAGATGATAGAGATAAATGATATATCTATGTGTGTAGATATAGGTGATGGATATAGCTTCTGCAGCTATACTGGGGAGGATATAATTTGGCTGTCACTTTTCAGGCTTCAGGGCATAAGTATAAATAAAAAATAATGTCCCTATAGTATGGCATTTCATAACTAGAGCAGTTACCCACTGTCAGAAATAAAAAGGATACTAGACAAGTTGGATCAAGGATCTTCTCCAGTATGGTAGTTCTTAGTTGTTATTGCAAGGATTATTTACTGGAAACTGTCAAAGGCAAGTATATCCTGAATGTCTTTTATTCTGTCAAACATCAGCGTCCTGGAAAGTTGCTCCTTACTTATCTGTCTTAAGGTTTGCTATCATGTCAACCACCGCAGTACTAAGCATTGTAAAGCCAAGGTATAGTGTGAACCTTTCCTATGTGTCTAAAGTGTACTTGCTGTAGTTGTCTTGTCATAAAGAACAGTAAAGGACTAGAATTCTCCCCTGCAGTAAGCATTGGTTTCAACATTTGGTGTATTGCTTTCCTGCCATTGCAGAATTAGCAATGTGGTTTACTTGTGAACATGGACACCACTTCTGTTTTAGGCTGCTTTTTAATATGTACAAAATCAAGGAATTTTACTTGCTGTTTTCTAGCTACCTGATCAAATCACTCAGTGCTGTCTAGGGTTGCCAACTTTTTACTCGCACAAAACCAAACACCCTAGCCCCACCCCTTCCCCAGGCCCCGCCCCCTGCTCACTACATTCCCCCTCTCTCAGTGGCTCACTCTCCTCCACCCTCACTCACTTTCACTGGGCTGGGGCAGGAGGTTGGTTTGTGGGAGGGGGTGAAGGCACTGGCTGGGGGGTGAGAGCTCTGGGTGGGGCTGGGGATGAGGGGTTTGGGGTGCAGGAGGGGGCTCCAGGCTGGGGCCAAGGGATTTGGAGTGTGGGAGGGGGCTCTGGGCTGGGGCATGGGGTTGGGGTTCAGGGTGTGGCGGGGCTCTGTGTTGGGGTAGAAGGTTGAGGGAGCTGTGGGTTTGGGGGGGCTTAGGGCTGGGGTAGGGGCTTAGGGTCCGGGGTTGGGGCACGGGCTTACCTCAGGTGGCTCCCAGTCAGTGGCGCAGCGGGGCTAAGGCAGGCTCCCTGCCTGTCCTGGCTTCATGCTGCGCTGTGCCCCAGAAGCAGCCAGGAGGTCCGGGTCCTAGGTGGGAGGGCCAGGAGGCGCCACACACTGCTCTCGCCTGCAGGCACCACCCCCTCCGTTCTATTGGCCATGGTTCCCAGCCAATGGGAGTGCGGAGTTAGTGTTCAAGGCGGGGGCAGCACGCTGAGCCCCCTGGCCGACCTGCCTAGGAGCCGGACCTGCTGGCCGTTTGCGGGGTGCAGCACTGAGCCAGGACAGGTAGGGACTAGCCTGCCTTAGCCCCGCAGCACCATCAACTGGACTTTTAATGGCCCGGTCGGCGGTGCTGACCAGAGCCACCAGGGTCAATTTTCGACCGGGCGTTCTGGTCGAAATCCGGACACCTGGCAACCCTAGTGCTATCCTATCATTTATAGCTTGACTTCCTTTTCAATGTCATGTGTCGGGCCCTCTAGAAAATTAAAATGGGATTCTTGGAGTAAAGCTAATAGAGTAAGTTAATACACTGACTGGCCTTTCTTGTTTGGGGACCTGAATTTTAATCCTAGTTTGGATTACAAAAGGCAAATGAATATGGTGGTCTCCTCTCCTCCTGCAGACAAGTTTAAAAACAAAACCACTGCAGAACTGGCAGTCTCTGGGGAAGTAAGTAAAAGAGATTTGCAGGTTAGGCATGAGGTACATTTACTGTGTTGTGTGGGAGAAATTTTCACAACAGCTGTTTGCACTCTACCTGATTTAAGATCATACTACTAGTCTCTAACTTTCATGAGCACTAAATTTACCTGAAAATGTTTAAAGAAAAAACAAACAAACTAGAGGATCTAGTGGTTTCCTAGGTCTCCAGAAAGGTCAAGATTTTATATTTCCTGTAATGCAGTTTATTTCCACATTGTAGTTAAGCACAATGGAGGACAGGGAGTAGGCCAATATCTGGGGAGTGTTTTTGCAGGCAGTGGGTGAAATGAACTACAGACTCCACAGTCAACCAGCCAGCTCCGACTCTGCAAAATCACCTTATTTAGCAATGGTGTGTTATGCCCTTGTAAAGAAGACACTTCTGATACTATTACCTACCCTAGAATACAACACGGTTATGGAATGACAGTTCCTAGATTTAAGAAGTACTGAACTTTTCTGCTTTTTACAGTCAGTGCCAAAGATAGGACTACAGCGTGATCCCAAGCTGTGCTTTAGTCACGTTGGGGCATTAATATGTTGTTACTGGGTTCTTCAGATGGTGTGTTTATAGTGTAAATGCAACCTGTGTGAACCAGAAGGAGGAAAGTGGGCCACGATTTTCAAAAGCGATTAGTGATTTTGGGTGCCTCCAGTTTTGGGTGTCCACCCTGAGACACCTGAAAGGGGCCTAATCATCAGAGGATAGGTGCAGAATTCTTTCTGGAAATCAGATATTTTTCAGATATCTCAAGTTGGGCGTCCAAAATGACCAGCCTTTCTTGAAAACCTTGGCTGTAATCTGTAGCCAGGGGACATGAGACTGGTAGAACCAAGGAAGTAGCAAGTACAGTGAAAGGTACCATCACTGGCATATCTACGTTCCAAAATGAATGGTTACATTCAAGGCACCAGAATAGCTGCTTTGCTATATGTTTCTTTGATGCAGATTCACAGCGAAAACAGGACAGACACGTGGCTGGATTTTAAGCTGAAGGCTACAAATCTTATTAAACTTTAACACAGGGGAGGGATGCTACCCACCATCACCCCTGCTCGCCTATACCAGGCATTTAGTTGGTTCCAGTGCAAGATTTCCAGGGCTCCTACCACATCACTCATAACTCAGCATAGGCACTCCTCAGCCTACCCCCCGGGACTCAGCTCATTCTGAGTCCCATCACAATGTACCCCCACAAGGGGAACACAGGGTGCAGCAGGGTGGGGACTCTGCCCGCAAGGGCCCCCAGGTCTCACTTTGTCCCAAAAACCCATCACCAAAATCCTAGGTCTCTTATCTCTGGGAACTGTTTGTTTTATCCTTGTAACCATGCTGGAAACCAGCTGCAAATTGTGACGAATCAACAACTCAATCAAAGTACCCCTGTTAGGTACCAAATGCATTCCTACTTAATCCACTGTGGCTTGAAGGTGCTGCAAAGAAGGCAAAAAATTCTCTGGTCCTCTGCTAGTTGGCCCATGGGAGAAAAAAAAAATCTTTCCTGACCCCCCCTAAACAGATGATCAGCTCTCAGGCCAGGTTCCCATTCCTAGTTCTGGGTGGATAGCGTGGGGCTGCAGGAATGAAGTCCCATGGCTCCCCATTCCAGGTTAAATCCTGGGAGCTGGGGAATGCTAGCCAATCAGCACCCTTTTCCCCTCCAACTGGCCAATATGTGCCAGAGACTCCCAAGGGAGAGGTCCTTCAGTGAGTAGCTCCTTACCGTCCTGCTGGGACTGTCCCCCTTCACTGATGGCTCCATCAAGTTCCCAGACATGTTGCAGCAGGTGGGTGGCATTTGCCAAGCCCTAAAGTTGAAGTAATGCATACAGTGTCAGACTTCACCGCCTTCTCTTTCTGTGTCGTGTACTATGTTTCCCATTATTTTGTTTTTTAGAGAAAGAGGAATTGTTCCAGAGTGTACTGACGCAGGTTGCTGAACAATTCTCAAGGTAAAAACTTTACATCATTGTTATGAATGCAAAGTTCTATTTCTTTTATTGACACCGGCTGAGGCTTTCAAAGGGAGCTAAAGAAGTGAGGCACCCAACTTCCACTGGAATTCAAAGGGAGTTGGGCAACTCATGCCCTTCGAACTCTTGACAATTCCAGCCTTACTGCCGGACTCAGCCCATACAACTCCCATTGACTGCAACGAGGAGATGCACAAGACTTATGCCAAGATGGAATTTGGACGGTATTTGCACAGGAAAAGAAAGGTTAATTGATTTAATTGTGCTTCCATCATTTTATTGGCAGCAAAAAAAAAGTGCATCTTTGTTTAGTTTTGTAGGCTCAGCATTTGTTTATCAATTTTAATGTGCACATTTTTCTTCCCTCAGATAACAATTCTGAATGTTTTTACGGATGCTTATTTTATCCTCACTGGCTTCAGTAAGAAGGATCAATTCTGTTATATCTCTGTAAGCCACCAATATGATTGAAAGAAAAAAGAGCTTTAAAGGTGTACAAATACCTGTATGCTGGCCTTGAAGCACCATCAATTTAGTTTTGCTTCCCTAAAGGGCATGATAACAAGTATCTGCTGAAAGATGGGGTGATGACTTCATTCTCTCAGAGCCAAAACAATAGCATTCTCTTTTAATTTTCATGGACTCTCTATAGCCTTTGAATGTGCACATCTTTCTTCAAGGTTGTACATTCAGCACAGATTTTGCTGTTCTTTACTTGACATTAAATGTCATTCCTTGGTCCTTTGAAACTGGTGTGCGGTTTCTAGTACAAAATCTTTTCTTTATTGTATACATATAGATACAAATGTATATTTCATATCTGATTTTTTCCCCAGGGTGTTTAAAATCAATGAACTGAAAACTGAAGTAGCAAATCACTTGGCAATGCTGGAGAAAAAAGTTGAACGTAAGTGTCCTTTATTTTTTAACAAAATTAGGAATTACTATATATAAAATCAACATCTGTTTAATTATAATACAAGGGATTCAAGTCTCCTGACAGTTCTCATTATATCACCCTGTTTTCAATTACTTATAACTTGACAAGACTTCAGATATTTGGGCTGAAATTTTCCATGCTGGGTCTTTGCCTGAGGCTGAATTGTTCTGGAAAATTTTAGCCAAAAAAGTTCATTCATTTCCAAGAAGAAGGCTAGGGGAAAATATGGTGTTTTGTCCACGTTAAAAAATTCTGATGACCTTTTCTTTGACAAGCTCTGGCGCCCCTATGCTTTGGAGAAGGGACTTGAAAGTTGGCAAGGGAGGTGGTCTTTAAAATTTATAAATATATATATATATATTTTAAAAAATTATTTAATAAAATTTTATTTAAATTTATGGCAGGATGTGCCTTTTTCTGTCCCTATGAATATTTGCCCAAATTTGGACAAGTAATAAGCCTTTGAAAAATCACAGTTTGCACATGCTCAGTAGAGACTGCTTCAATTTTAGCTGCTAAATTCCCCAAATATCCCATCTGTACTGAGCACGCTCCAGTCCAGTGATTAGCGGATTTTCTGTACAATTGTAGTTCTGAGCTGCCATGGGCCAGAGCACAGCCAGACATTGAAACTGAGGGCAGACAGCTTGTCTCTCCACGCCCTTCTGCTGCTGATGACAAGGTAGCGTGTAGGAAGAAGCTGCCTAATTTGAATGCAGAGGGGACAAGAGCCTCACCTGCAGGGGAGGCAGAGGGAGCAGATGTTGACAAGGAGCCTGTGGGAAGACTGGGGCTGTTGACTGGCAGGGGGAAGAGGGAAACAGACTGGAAGTTGAGAGGGGGACTGATGGCTAGGGAGGGAAACAGGAGGGGACTGGGAGCCAGCAGATTTAGGGGCTGCTGAGATTGGAAGAGAAGCTGGGGTGGGGGGACTGGATGGACAAGGAGACTGGGCCTGAGAACCAATGGAACCAGGCTAAGGAGATGTGGGAGGAGGGGAGACAGATCTGACAATGAACTGGGCTATGGAGGAGAACTGGGAGTGGCCCCGGGAGTGGGGGAGAGACTGGTACAGGGAGTCCAAAGAGTTGAGACTTGGAGTCGCTAGGCAAGGAGACTGGGCCTGGGAGGAGAAGCTGGAGGGGTGGAGGCTGGGATGGGAATGAGGAGCAAGGGATGGGGAAGAGAGGGCTGGGACAGGGACATGTTGGAGGGGATGGGGTAGAAGGGTCATGTTTATGGGGGATGGACATAAGTCTGTGCTCACCACAGCACACTCCCGTCCAGAGCCTGACATGGAACCAAGGATTCCTGAGTCTCACCTTTCCTCTTCTGTCAGCAAATATCTGTGAAACCCATTGGCAAAGTGTCCTGTCCCCCTCTTCTGCTGGTCCACATGGAAGATGACAACCTACTACTATTGGTTAGTCTATCAACTCAAGTGGCAGAGTTCTGTGAGGTGGATCTAAAGGTTCCAATCCTGCTAATGACCCATGTTGGTGTCAATAAGATGCCACATGATGGAATTTCTGTTTTTTCTGTTGGCTTTTTTAAAAACCTAGGAAATTACACACACACAAAACTGTGTTAGCAGAACAATATAAGGTTGCAAAATCAAGCACTCAAAAGTTAGGGAAATGCCAGAATTAAGGTGGCTTGTGCTACCTTAATTCAGCCCCCTTATGTGTATGCGTTATGATACAGTCCCTAGTTACATGATCACATTTTATTTTTTTTCTGCAGGACCCCTGCCTCATTTAGTACATAGGATAAACCTGCTCTGGAGAGGAATCAGGGCTGTGTAGTAAAAGAAAATGTTGTCCGTTGGACTTCTGCTTTATTTGTTACAGTAGTTGGAAGATTTGTAGTGAATGAGGCAGGGGACTGCAGGAAGAGGAAGGATGGTTTCGTGGTTACAGTAATTGAATGCTGGCTTGGAGAATTAGATTCTGTCCCTGCCTCTGCCACAGAGCTCCTATGAGATGCTGAGCAAGTCCCTTAAACCACACTTTTCAAAGGTGGTCACCAATAGTGTGTCCCTCCTTTTCTGGATTCCGGACTTGAGACCTTGGGATCTGATTTACAGAAGTGCTGAGAATTCAGAGCTGCAACAGCAGTCAATGGGAGGTGTGAGGTGAACATATAAAGTGGTATAGAATGCTAAGCACTCTGAAAAATGAGGTCCTGGGCATCTCAAACTGGGCACCGAAACGTAGTGGACCTTAATGAAACTTTTTACCTTAATCTTGCTGTGCTTCCGTTCTCCATCTGTAAAATGGAGATAATAATATCCCACTCTCTCACCTTACAGGGGATTGGGAAGATAAAGTAATGTTTGTGAAGCACTCAGATAACCTAGTGATGAATGTGAAAACCAATGAGGAAATTAATAATTGTATATTCAGAGCAGGGTTTGAATAATGTGCAGTAAATCAGGCCTGGGGCCACATATTGAACAATGAAAAGAAAACAAAATATCGAATAGCTGCTCATTAAATGAGCACTGCCCATCCTGTGCACTAAACGAGGAAGAGCGCCTGTGGAAAAAATAGTATGTGATCATGTAATTGAAGACTGTATCATAATGCATACACACAAGGGAGCAGAATTAATTCTGGAATTTCCTATCTTTTAATGCTTGACTGTTCAACCTTAATACTGTACTTTTAAAATATGTTGGCTGTGTGAATATGGCTGTGATAGATATATTTTTATAGTGGTGTTTTCACTTTTATGTGATGTACAATTCCAAAGGATAAGTGCCTACACTCAATAAAGACAGGTTTCAGAGTAGCAGCCGTGTTAGTCTGTATCCGCAAAAAGAACAGGAGTACTTGTGGCACCTTAGAGACTAACAAATTTATTAGAGCATAAGCTTTCGTGGGCTACTGCCCACTTCATATGCATCCGAAGAAGTGGGCAGTAGCCCACGAAAGCTTATGATCTAATAAATTTGTTAGTCTCTAAGGTGCCACAAGTACTCCTGTTCTTTCTATTGGCTAGGTTCTCCAGTTGAACTACATCACCCATGATACACCATGGCCACCTCCCTTTGCCATGAGGGGTGACCATGGCATATCATAGGAGAATTAGTTTGACCAAGGAGCCCAACCTATAGAAAATGGGAGCATGAGGCAGCATGACAGCATTCCAATTGAAATATTTCAATATTCAAATTTTCACCACCAAAAATAAAAATTTTGCATAAAAAAATTTAGATTTTTAGGTTTTTTGTTTTTGTTGAAATTTTCCACAGAAACCTCCCTGATTTTATGACTAGGTCTAAATGCAGCCTCTCAATGGCAACTATTCATAAGCTCCTCTACATAGCTGTGGAGTTTGTGGGCCCTTCTCCAATCTGCTGCAAAACATGCCAGCACTGAGCCTCACTGGGGTAGTTTGTAGAGAAGACAAGACCCCATTCTTTGCTGCCACTTATAGCCCCCCTGCTTCACTACTGGACCTAAATAGTAGAGAGGGCCTTGTGTTGGGTCTGTGTATAAACCGGTCCAAAAATTGCCAAGTTTTTTTCCATCAAAAAGGTTTTGCGGTCCATAATGGAATTTCGGGGGGAAGAGGAAAATGGGCAACACCCACCTCAGAATAGCCGGGCCATTAGGGTATTTACCTGCGATGGAAGTGACCCAGGTTCAAGTTCCTGTTCTATCTGTTTTGTCTCTTTCTCTGGCCCAATATTTAATTATTTATACAAAGGGGAACAGCTCCAACAAGAGAGATTGAGAAAGAGACCCAGGTTCTAATTCCTGCCCCAAATTATGAGGTGGCTCACTCTCGAAAGGTCTCACTTTTGTTCCAATGCAGAACAAAAAACACATTTTGAAACTTCAAAGTTTTTCCTGAAATGGAATTGTTGTGTTCCAGCCAGCCTTAGTTCTGTGCAGCGGGAGGTGAAATATTTACCCCGTGCAGCAAGCCAGCACAAGATTAATGCACCACTTATGTCTAATTTAATCCTGACTTCAGGAGTTTAAGGGATCTGGAAGTCTTGTACTGTGCCTCTGCACAAGGGTGAATTGGAAGTGGTCTGAGCAGTGAGCAAATAAGTGGACGTGCACATGCATATGCATTATTTCTGTGAACACTTTGACTGCATACTAATCTATCCCTTAAAGATGAGTCAGTAATCCAGTGGGAGCTATTGACTTTATATACACTTCTTTGATGAATCAGTCTGTAACAGATACAATTTTCAGTCCAATGTACCTTGAATGCATTGAAATCATAATGTATTAAGATCTGAGATGAGATAACCAGGGACAAGGTAGAGCAATAAATACATGCTAGCACCAATGTCCTCATGGAGCTTCTAAATGTTTTCAAGTTGTTAGGTCACAGATAAAAATTATCCTTCGGGCTAATGATGATACAAATCAGCTAATCTGTGGGCTGCATGGAGAGTAGTTTGTTGTTTTAACTCATTGCCTGCACTAGTGCCTTTGTTAAATGTGAAAGGCTAGCAAATGAAATAATGAAATGAAAGAACTCAGGATTTATATAGTAAGTACAAAATTCTGTTAAAACAAATTCAAAATGGCGGACACAATAATTCTTTAGCTGCTGATTTCATTCCGTTTCCCTTTGACATCACTACCCCCTTGCCTCTTGTTTTGATACTGCCATAGCCAGTCCTTTATCAACTGTTTAGCAAATTATTGTATTGTTCTACAACTTTAGATAGACAGATAGAGCACTTCCACTTGATCACTATATTCCAGAAGGCCATGGTCTGGATTCCCCAGTCCCTTACACCAGTTTTACACTAGAGTAAATCCAAAGATTTCATCGTAGTCAGGCCTGCAAAAAACTGATGTAGATGAAGTGAAGAATCAGGCTCTTTCTTTATGTTAGTGTATCTTTCAAGAAATGGTAAGAAAGCTGTGTTTTCCAGTTTAACCAACAAAAAGAGGTATGTGTGGTCTATATAATGGTCTTAGCATAAGGTTGGAAATGGCTGGGAGCTCAACACCTCTTAGAATCAGGTTATTTATTTTGATACCAAAAATATAGATTTAGGAACCTAATTTTAGGCACCCATTTTTTAAAATCTTCAGATTTTTTTTAAATGGGAACATTCAATTTTTGAGGTTTTCTGATTTTGAAATTGAAAAATTCTGTTCTTAAAAAAAAATCCACTGAAAATTCAGAAAACAAAAGCAGATCACCTGAAAACATAACAGGACAGGAAATACTTTTGAATCTGTCAGAGTTTCTATGTTTTTTTCCCCCCAAGTTTTTGGCCAGCAAGACTGCTTTATAGTTAGAGCTTTTTCTTTTTAGAAAAACATTTAAATACCTAAAGTTTCTTGCCTCCTACAGTTTAATTCGTTAAAACGAGTATCTTGACTCTGTTTTCCATTTGCCTTTTGTATTACACAAGCAAGAGCAGAATGGTCTTAATGTTGCCAGCCCTTTAGGAAACATTTTATGTCCTTCCACTTGAATTTGATTATTAGCTACATATTATACATTTTCCTAATCTATTTTGATTTTTCACTTAAATTTGTACAGCAAATAACATTCTTAGGAATCCATATGGCAGTAGTAATATGAATAGTTCATGTAACTAAAACTTAGAGAAAAAGTCAAATACTAGGCATCTGTATAAGGTCCTATATATGATCGCTACTTTCTGGGGCTTGTACTCTAACTTTTATTCCATGTCCTTTGCTTTTATGCCTCTGATGACTGTGTTAACTAGCTATGTGACAAATCTTAGTTTTCAGTGTTTTCTAAATACTGAGCAGACTAGGTGGCCTTGGTATCTGCGGATACTGATTAAAAAGCTGAATGGCCGCAGGAGGGAGCGGGTGAGCGGTGCTAGTTTGCAGCAGGGATGGGTGATGCAACGGAGCAAGTCAGAGGGAGGGAGGTTCAAAAGAAAGATGGTCTAGAGGCTCTGTACTAGGACCTGGGAGACCTGAGGCTGAGTGCCTCACTCTGCTACTGACTGGCTGTGTGGCCTTGGCCATGTCACTTAAGGCCCAATTTTCAAAGGTATTTAGGTGTTTAAAGATGCGGATGGGTGCATAGTGGGATTTTCAAAAGTGCCTAATCCAGTTAGGCACTCAACTCCCACTAAAATCAAGTCAAAGTCAAATCTGTGTCTTTAGGCACCTAAATACCTTTGTAAATCTGGCCCTGGATCTCTTTGTGCCTCAGTTGCACAACTGAGAAATTAGGATGATAATATTTCTGTGTTATGCAGGAGGTCAGACTAGATAATCATAATGGTCCCCACAGGGCTTAAAAATCTATGAAGCTCTGAAATTATATTGATTTTAACTGAAGTTTACTGAAGCATGTTTGGAATGCTCAATAAAAAGGGTCTCGTGTCAGTTGTAATTTAATGTACATTCAAATGCAGCAGGCATTTTAGCTGTGATCTTAAAACACGAGGCCAAGATTTACAAATATGGACTGCTGAAAGTTAAGATTCTAGGTCCATATTTAGGTAAATGGCTTCAGTGAAAGCTTCTGGGTGCTCAGCAACTTTGAAAATCAGACATGGACAGGGGCTTGCTCATTTTTGAAAATATTAGTTCTGGTCCTGTCAGGCTTTTAAGAATGCATAAATTCTTCTCAAAAAGGAATTTATTCCAGCCTATCTGCTGAACGCCACCACCTCCCAACAATTTGGGCAGAGCCTCCTTGCCATCAATGGCCTGATATTTCATGATGGTTCGTGTTTGGATTCAATATACTGTAGTCCATTTAAAATGAAACAGGAGCGTGGCTTTCTTGCATGGAAGGTTGGCGGTACTGGAATCCTGCAGTGTGTGAGGGAAGGACAGAAGAACACCAGTTGCTCCAATGTGGTCTATCATTTAAGGAAATAGAAGTGCAATTTAAGAGCTTATTTTGTCATCACCATCAAATACAAAAGATGAAGTATGCTTCTAGTCAGGGATTTTTCTTCTAGTTTTAGGAAGGAACTGCTTTCCTCTAAACTCTAAGACACAGTATGTTCTTAAACAGATTAAGATAAGGAAAGAAAATAGCACTTTTCTTTAAGTGACAGCAGAAACAATGCTTAGACCTTGATTCTTATACAGAGTTCCTTTTTTTCTGGCCAGGATGTTTATTAGAAGGAAAAGGGGGCCTCTCTACTTACTACAGAATCCCTTCAGCATGAATTCTGACACTCTTCCATTTCGAGTGAACTCTTCCATATTCTAAAACACATGCAGTCCATAACTTGGTGTCACAGAATACATTGCAGTGTATAAACTAATCAAGTATTGTTGTTGTCATTGTTGTACCATTGGGCTGGATTCTATGCTTTATTTTTAAAAAAAGACAATAACTAAAAAGTTGGCTTGTCACTCTGTGTTGTAAGAAGAGATCTAGCTGTGAGTAGGGTTTCTAGAACTGTGGTTCCAGTAAATATGGTCAGTGTTTAAACCGTACCTTTGCCTATACAGAGGATGATAATCTGTTAATATTCTTTTTGTCTATTTAGCCAATGTATAACTGCATGGGTGCTGGATCAGGCCCTGATTCACCCTAACTTAAACAGGAAAGGAACATATATAGCCTCAGAAAGAGGTCACTAATGTATTTTGGTGAACAGTGAGGAATGGGAGTATTCCAAAACTGTAGGCTATTGAATGAGAAGGTCCTATGTCACACCTTCTCAGAATCCTGATATAGGATGGCAGCGAATCCAATACTGTAACAGGCATTAGGTGAGTAGACTATCCCTCGGGTATATTGGCCCTAAATTATTTAAAGCTTATATACTTGATGTAAGACTCTGAAGCACACTCACCAAACAAGATGCTCTACTGAGCTGACTGCTCCTGACATATTTTGAAACTAAATCAGATTTACCATGCAAATAGTTTGAGAGGAAAAGACAAATCATTGCCACACATCCACAGATATTATGTCAATAAAGTGAGTTTACCCATACAATCTGGGCCCCAATATCCCTGGCAGCACTCAGGTTGCTGAAATTCCTTCATACATATATGCCGACATCCAGGAAGAGACAAAGTGTAAGTCCTGATTTCAAGGTAATACCTGAAGACAAGAAGTTGCAGATACTTTAGAGAATTTAAAACCTCCTGTGGGGACAAATGAAGTTTGTAACCTCTTCATTCTTTAAAGCCAGATAACAGAACTTAAAATTTACAGCCTCACAGTTCTGTTGTTTTTAATTTTTCATGTAAAACATGGGATTTCCCCCCATAGTTTATTGAAGTCCAAAAGCATCTTTGCAGCCATTTCTCTTGTACAATATGCCTGTTCTTCTTACTGTCTGTAGTTTGGACACTCCACAGTTGTCTAGTATATATTTAGTCTAGAGTAGGATAAAGGACTGTGGCAAGATTATTTAGGAGGGATATCCCTGAAAAGTTTTGAAAATTCCATTTGAGTTTTTGACTCACAGGATTTGGGAGACTAAAACTGAATGCAGCATTTAACAATGGAAACGTCATCTCCAAGCTGGAACACATAATAAATACTACAGAATACAACTGAGAACCATTTTACTATACTACTCACTGAGATAAACTGAGAGGTCATGTATACCAATACTTACATCCTCCCCAAGATCTCATCCAGGACTAACTATGATCATAAATTATCCTGGGTAAAATCCAAGATCCAAGTCAATGGCAAAACTACCATTGACTTTGATGGGACTAGGATTTCACCTTTTGTCTTGTTCTATCCATTGACACTTCCTGTTGAAAGATCTCCTGGCAGACCTAAGTGAGAACTCAAAGGAACATTAACTCTATCTGTAGATTTTAAGCTCTTCAGGGCTCTTCTCACACTACGTATTTGGACAGTGCCTAGCACAAGAGGGCCTTAATTTTGGTTGGGGCCTCTAGGTCCCATTACTACTGTAATACAAATAATAATATTGTACTTATGGGTTCAATGCTTTCATAGTGCTTCTGTGATAGCTGCTCAAATGGGAGGAAGTAGATGAGGCATGAAAGTAACCGAAAACTTTCCACCACTTTTGATGTGAAAGAGACCAAACACACACTGAAGAAAAGCACAAACCCAAGACACAAAGCAGTGCATAGGCACCAACTCCGTGGGGGCTCTGGGGCTGGAGCACCCATGGAAAAAAAAAGTGGGTGCTCAGCACCCAACAGCCACAGCTGATTGGTAGTTGCTGCCAAACAGCTGTTTGGTGGCACGGGAAGGGGGTTGGGGGAGTGCAGAGAGCAGCGAGCAGGCAGGGGCCTCAGGGGTGGGGGGTGGAGCAGGGGTGGGAAGAGGAGGAGCGAGGGCGGGGCCTTGGGCCAGAGCAGGGGTGGAGCACACCCCAGGGAAAACTAGAAGTCAGCGCCTATAAAGCGGTGGTTATTCTGTAGTCCTTGCTTCCACCTGATTAAGCAGCCTTTCTGTAAACTTCATGAGTGCTACACCTTGAATGTGGGGTTAGGACAATGAAGAACATATTTTACAGATTAACAAGGCATAGGTCATTTCTAACGCTGCTTAAAAATTTCTGGTTCAGGGTGAACAATATTTATAGTGAATAATTGTGACGGAAGATATACCTGCAACCTCGTATTCCAGATCCATTGGTCATTTTACTATAACCATCAGGGCACCGGATTTCAAAGTTTAGAGAGCAAGATCGGCATTCGGTTTTGGTTGTAATGAGCATCTTCTGATCACACTTATTCTTCACCTGTAAAAAGCCAGAAATAGGTTTAAATCATTAGGGTGACATTTTCAAAAACACTCACAGTTGGCCTAACTGCTCTCACTGGAGTCAATGGGAAATCCTGCTTTAATTCTTATAGTCTTATTATGGGTACATTTTCATAACCACCCAGCCCCATCCTTCTCCTGTAGCTACAGTGCACTTTTTCAGTTTTGCTCTCTTGCTCCCACCAGCCTAAAACAGGTTGTGGGGCCTGTCAGTATGATATAACGGCAGGCTTCTCTACAGAGGAGTCCTACAAACTATCGAGTCTGACTCCTTATATTCCCCCCCACCATGTCTCATATCCCTGCTGGGATCATGATAAATCTTTGGTCAATAGTGAGTACTGAATATGATATCAATAAATGCTTGGTTTGGCAAGTTTGAAATGGAAACCAAGGACAGCTTAGTGAAAGCGCCTGAGTGTATGGGGTGTTAAATTATAAAGCTCGGGTAGATTTCCAAACCAGGGAGAAGGTCCATTATTTTCTAAGTATGCAGAAATTTTGTGAGATTAGTTGACCCACTAACCAGCTCTTACAACCCCCAAAATGTCCTGTGCAATGTAGTACAATTTCAGTCAACCGGATGGAAAAGATGTGTGACGGAGCCAATTCAGAGAAGAGAATATAAAATTGGATCTTCGCTGAGGAAGCATGTGTTGTTATTTAACCTGACTGCACTATGCCCTGTGAAAATGCAGTCTCTGCATAATAAAATATTTACCTTCCCCCAACCCAAGGACTAAGAAGGCAATATCGAGACCTGGGATAGGCAGAATTTGAGTTCAAGGATGAATCAGGATGATATTTCGGGTTTAGATTAGATCGACATGAAATCGTGAGAGATGTGGCCAAAATGTTTATCCACATCTGAAATGAAAGGTAGACACCTTCTAGGTTTGGATCTGATGTGGAACTGAAATCATGCGAGTGAGTTTGGATCTGAACTCTCTGAAAATGAAAATTTGAAAAAGTTCAGATTCAAGGTTCTAGTTTGACCTACCTCTTAAAACGCCCCCAACAAAACCTTAAAACCAGTTGGTATGTCCAGACAATTAAAGATGAAGATGCTTGTAGCTCCAAGCAAAAAACTCCCAAAATGTATAACATTTTAGTTGAGGGCATGATTTTTGCACTAAGATTTTCCCCTGTGATTTCTTTATATAATGCAAACTATTTAATATAGTGGTTTATCTATTTTTCTAAGGGTAAAGCTGCTTATTAAGAATAATAATTCCCCCCTAAATATTTCATTTTTTAAAATAGAAAAAATATTAATAATCATGATTAATATTAAATATTAGGAAAATATATAATTAAGACACTTCAGAAGCATTTACCCTCTTAACCCTTGCAACACTCGTACAAAAGAGGTAGGTAAGTATTCATATTTTACATATGGAGATGTGGAAACAAGTGACTTGCTCAAGGCTACACAATGGGTCAACTATACAGGCATGAACAGAACTCAGGAATCTGTCTTCTTGCTCCCTTGTCTAGCCACTATAGCACACCTTTCAAAGCCTCTGATGGTCTTCTTTAAAACACACAGCCTTTCAAACCATGCTCCTCAGTTGTAACTCTGATTAGACAACTCATTCAATTACCTAAGGACATAACCTTCTTATGCAATCAAGTAAGTCAGCTTTGAACAATACAACAACATACTCAATTCATCAATCTGTACTCCCAGGTGTAGTCCCACTGATACAAATACATGAGTAAATGCTGAAGGATCTGGCCAGTTCACCTTAAGCTAGATGTACTTGCTGAACTGTTTATTTTAACATTTGTGTTTTTAATTTAATGTGCTGATCTACAAAGTTGCTCAGGAAAAGTCACTCAGAGTTTGACATCTCAAGGATATCAGGATTTGGACTTTTAATATGCAAGCAAACTACTTTTAACAGGCGCATTAGTGCAAAAACAACTGGACTAAGATATTGGGTTGGCTTATTTCATTGAAATGTCAAAAGAACATTTTTCATCTCCAATTTCAATTTTGATGAATTTTTTAAATTTTCAAAGATTTTGAAATGAGAAAATTAAAATAATTTTTTTTCAAAATTTTGGAAGTTTTTGTTTTGCAATAGTTAGAAAATTCCCATTTTCTCTCCATTCCCTTCCCACCCCCTCCTCCCATTTGAAAAGGGGGAAGAAAGGTAAAAAGAAAAAGTCACTTTTTCACACCTCAAAGCAATTTTTTCACACGTTTCTAGTTGAAAAAGTAAAAAAAGGAGGGATAGTGGGAGTTGTCCCTTTTTCTGACACTCTCTTCCCCCCCATCTATTTCATTCCTCTAATAGGTTATTCAAACCTTTCCCCCCAGTTGTACTAGTGAGGACACAATAATCCAAAATCATATGCTTCAAGGTAGTTCAAGTGAACACAAAATTTTTTGATCAGTTCTCATTTCTATGGTTAGAGCTATAAAACAATAACACTTTTCACTTCCCTAAATGTATGTTACAAAACACATTTTTGTGAAATTCCATAAATCTAGGAAATTTGCAATGGTTGTGTCACATCAGCATATACATTAATTCCAGAAATATCTACAAATCTCATGTTAAGTTTGCAACTTTTTGTGCATGTTAAAAATTATCAGGTTTTCTGGGACTGCTTTTCACCTGGCCAAAATAGCTTTTCACACTGGTGGAGAATAAAGAGTGCTGTTTGCTATGGTAAAAAAAACCAACTGTTTTCATCTTCTGATATAGTAGAAAATGTAATAGCTTCCATTTTTTGCTTTTGGAGAACCATAATCCAACATCATCTATTGGCAGTTTCACCAATGTGGAGATTTATTTATTTATTTGCACAGGTCTATTTATGGCATAGTTTATGTACCAGATTATTAGCAGGTATAATTGATTTCAATGGGGATATGCTAATTTACAACATCTGGGGATATCTATTTATCCAGGAGACAGTATCACATAAGCATGGATGGACAGTGCAATGGGTTGTCCCCCCTCCCATAAGATGCAGTATATGTGAAAAAAATTACAGAACCCTTCTGTACTATACCACAAACACAATACATCATTATCTAAAAAATGTATCCAAAAGAAAATATAAGACTTTTCTTACCTGATCTGTGGGCTTTGGTGGTGAAGAGAGGTTATTTGCAACCAAAGAAGATACAAGGAATAAAACAACCATATGTTTTTCCATTATGAAAAACTGTTGATTTTTTTTCTTCGGAACTCTTCAGTCATGAGTAACAATGCTATGGGTGAAAATGATCAGAGTTTTGGTAGCCTTACCACTTTACTACATTCCAGTGAAAAAACTGAAGTGACTTCCCTCCTTTTCCTGGAGAAAGCAATGAGCTAAACCACAAAGCACGTGAAACCTGCCCTTAGATAGGAAAAATACCAAAATACATGGCTTTTGCTGAAAGTGTTCACTGCAAAGCTGAATAAACCCTTCCTAATTGAATGACAGGATATCCTGATAGGACTCTGCTCTGCAGATCCCTCTCTGTAGCTGTTGACAATACAATTCCAAGGACACTGAATTGTGGTGAGAGAAGATATTTTTCTTCTTTTAGGTGGACATGAACTGAGGCTGGGAATAGCTGTTGATCTTGTTGTCATCACTTGAATGGGGTCAGGCAGAATGCAAACTTTATGGAGCTGGGTTTATCTGTTCTTGAAACAGAAGGGTGTATCCACCATCTGTAGCTCTTTGAGCAAAGTTAGACACATTATCTGAGGTGGCCAAATCAATATCTTCTAGCTTTGGTTAGCTGGATAAAAGAAGGGACTTTTTCCCTCCTTTGTTTTTACCCTCTTTGAAGCTTCATTACATCATTATGACTAATCTTTTACAACTGGTACAAAGAAAATTAATTCAGTCAATTTAGCTGTGTATAATAGGAAAGAATTAGTTGAAGGACATTTTGAAGAACTAAGGGAAGAAATTGTCTTTCTCGCTGTTTTCAAAGTTTTTCAGCTCCTTTTAATTCTTTCAATGTACGGAGCCCAGTAATTCTCAATCACAGAGGCAATGACCTATGTTTTCAAGAGAATCTAATGATTTTGGGTGCCTCAACTTTTGATTGCTTGACTTTATAAACCCATTATGCTTCTAAAGTTTTCAGAAAGTCCAAGGCACTCCTCCATATCATGGAAGACACAGCTTTGGTTTAATGCTAGGTTAGTACTTTTACTGAAGTAAGCGACCAGATAGCAGCAGAGTTGAGCTGGCTTCTTTTATTCAACTTGCAAAAATGCAGGTCATAACTATCTTGTTTTTTCCTTCTTGTCTCTCCTGTTTTTCTTCCACAAAAAAGCCCACTGGGGCTACTCATTTTAAATTTGATACAGAATTGGCCCTAAACCAAACCCTGAATCTAGGTCTGAACTTCCTCCCAGACAAGCAGCTCACTTCTATTCAACCCAACCTGAGGGGCTGTGAATAAAGGGGGTGGTCAAGTGAGCTGTACACAGCTCCCATTTTGTCCTGGGTGCTAATTACTTTGTTACTGCCTGCTACTAATCAGGCAACAGACATTGTGCCTGCTGCCTTCCCATCCTGCTCATATCTGCCTTACCTCATGTATTTGGTTTGAGATTTAAGACTTTTAGGGAGAGGGAATTTGTCAGGCCCACAGGACTGTCTCTGAAATCTCAGGACTTCGGGCTGTCCAGCTACAGCCACCATAGCCATGGAAATATTTCATTTGGTACAGGAAGACTAGATAATTGGCTCCTTCTGAGGCAGGCAGAAAGCATGACAATTTGCAAGTTTTCAAGTCTTTGTCTTTCAGGTTCTCTGAAATATTATTTTGCAAATCAAAAAACAAAACAAAACAAAAAAACTCGATGCCATGTTTTTCAAAAATGGCAGAGACAAACCTGGATGTAAAGGACATCAAAGTCATAGGCCTTTCCGTTTCTCATTACAAGCAGCTATGGTTCTGGGCCTGGCTCCTGAGGAGCTAAAAGATCCACTGTTGTTTTGCCTCTTCACATTTGTCTATAAATCAGGCAAGAACAGACTCTCATGCGGTTTCCTGTGCTGCTTGGTTCTGTCGGGGCTGAAGCAGTAGGAGAATAGACCCCACTATGGTATTTCAGTAGTTCTGCTTACAGGAAAGCAGGAAACACCGGCTTTCAAGGGAAAACAGAAAAGTAATGGAGCTGTGTTAAACCTTAACGTTTTTGTTCCTGTTCATTCTGGGGCAGGTCATGAAGTTATCCACACTGGTTCCCCTATCTCCAGTTATAATGTAAAGGCAAATATTGTGAAGCAGACATGACACTATCACAGGTAAAAACGAGGTTGAAGAACAGAATAATTTATCTAAAAAGAATATCCCTTGGATTGTGCTGAAGGTGCTCAATTAATGTTGTAGGGTGCACTATACAGTACTTGGAAATAGTGCTCTCTTCTGTATCACTTTTGGGTTATCACTTACCTCTGTTGTAACCACATGTGCCTCTTTGCTCTACTGGGGATTCCAGGTGCTTTGCATGTGAAAGGCTCTGGCTGAACAGTTTTCTTGATCCTTTTAGACATACTGTACCCGCAACACTAAATGCTGCCTAAATTATGGCTTGTGTATGGACTTTATCTTGTTTGAAATCATTAAACAAATAGATTGGCCTATAAATCTCCAAGCTGTCACCTGTCAGCTTGGACTCTATATTGTTTACATAAAGAATTCAGTTCTTTAAAAATAAAAAATTGTTGGTGGGGAACTGACAGGGCAAAGAGCTTTCCTGTGCACTCATCAGATCCTGTTCCTTTCTGCTACATGATGAGGAAAGTAAACCGTTTCTTGTTTATGTAGACAAGCCAGCAGCCAGAGTACACAATGTATATATTGAGGGCACATATGACCATGTGTCCCTGAGGACTATCATTTTTCCTTTGTTAGGTCAAGCTCTTCCACACAGCTTCATTTTTGTGTGCAATATTGATCATGTCTGGTCTGAGCCAGAGACATCACGAATCTTAATTAAAGGCCAGATTTTGTCCATTCCCTATGTGGGGAAGATCAGAAGGGCATCTCTCTGATGTCCCGCTAAAGGGATGGGTTCCTCCATGGCCAACGAACCACAGGTTGAGGAGGCAACACATCCTGAAGAAAAAACTCCAGCTGTCAGCCAGAGAGTTTAGGAGGAGACCTATTGGCCCCTAGATTCTACCTCCTTGGCAATTGGCGGATGAAAGGATGTCCCTACTGTCTAGCTTCATCTACCAAAACTCAAAAGGTTGGCCTTTTATTTTTTTCAAAAGGAAGGATCCCCAATCCTCAATCCTCCTGCCCCATGCACATGCTAGAGCTGTGTGAGCCTTGGGAATCTTCCTTTTCCCATCACGTTCCATGATATTGCATTATTGACTGGCCAGCACATGAAAATGTTTTCGAGGGATAATTCTCCAAATAAGCAGGAGTTCTGGGAGCAAAAGGCCTAGCTGCAGCTAGGACAGCAGCCCAGGACTTGAGTATGGGAAATAGGGTTGCCAACAGTCCCTTATTACAAGGAACGCCCCTTATTTTTTCATCTCTGGACAACAAGGTCAGGAGTTGCTGAGTGTTTCAAAAAGCAGCAAGAAATATCCCTGGTGAATGTAGGTGAGTACTGCTTATTACTTATTACTTATTACTTATTATTATTTTATTAATGATAATATCAGGAGGAGGAGTGGGGCAAGGGTGCTAAGAGAGCAGTCCCTTATTTTTGAAATACAGTGTTGGCAACCCTGGGAAGAGTGGCTATCTGGGAAGTGGCAGTGTTACCTGAGTTGTGCCCAGGTTTGCCCAAGACTATATCATTGCATAGTAACATGTTCCCAAATGCCAGCTAGTGTAGCAATTGGAGGTCAGAATGGTTTGTTCCCTGTTGTCAGTTCTGCAGTGTCACTGCAGTGATAAGAGGAGTGGAAATCAGGCACTTCCCTTTCCTGTGCTGCAGATCAAGAAAAAAACAACATTAGTCAACTGCCAGTTATCTGCTGTGTAACACCTCTTGTAGCTATTCAGATGGAATAAAGCCTCTTTCACATTTCTTGCTTCCCCCCTATCTCCCGCATGTCAGAATACAATATTTTCATTTACTGCTTCAATTACTCGTCTCCAACTCTGGATAACTCAAGACCATCTTCTCTTATTGGTATAGTGAGTTACTGTGCTCCACAGGGGTTACACATGGAATATGTTAGACTGCAATGGAAGTAATTAGTAGCTCATTTCTTTATCTTGATGGGGCTAAATCCTGCCCCAGCCAGTGCAGTGATGCCCAGCACAGATGCAGTTTAGCACATCATCTGACAAATGGGATAGGTTTGCTTGGGGAAGGCTGGGGCTCCATACTTTGATGCTAATCTCAGCATTCCTGCCAGCGGGTACACATGCTGCTGATGGCAGCCTACTCATTAACCAGCTTTAGGACTTGGCCGTGCTTCGCAACCCACAGATAAAACTCCCTTGGTGATGTGATGTGTGTGCAAGTGCACTAGATGGACTCAAGTCCTAGTGTGGTTCTGTGTGCTATGGAAGGAGACTGCCATGCTGTTTCTATAGGGAGGAAGTTCCACCTGCCACCTTTCACTCATAGGCTCATGGATTTTAAGGCCTGTAGTCTAGCATCTAGTCTGACCTCCTGCATAACACAGACCATAGAACCTCCCCCCAGTAATTCCTTCATCAGACCCCCTTGTACACTGGCACTATGGAGGGTAGGGCTGAGGGCACAATAAGGACAGGAGACAGGGTACAATTTTCAAAAGCGTCTATAAGACTTAGGAGCCTAAATCATATTTTCAAAAGTGAAAATCCTAAACCCCATTGATTTTCAGAGGGATTTAGGGCTAAAATCTCAAAAGTATTTAGGTGTCTAAAGATGCTGATAGGCACCTAGTGGGATTTTCAAAGTCTCCTAAACAGGCTAAGTGCCTAACTCTCATTAATTTCCAGATAGCTACACTTCCCATTCTCAGATGGAAATGGGATTTAGATTCTAATCCTAATCCATTTGGGCCCTTTAGAAAATGTTACTCACAGTGCACATCTTACCCAAAATAGCAGCGTGATGCACTTCATTTCTTCACACAGTGACACAACTAGAAACTTTATACAAGGCCAAGAGAGAATGAAAAATGGTTGAGATGAGAGACATATAACTCTGCCTCCTGTACCCACCTACCTGCAGAAAGCTTTGATAAGCTTATAAATAAAATAAATAAAGAGTGGAATTATTTGTGATGTCTGATTGGTTATGTGCCTTGCATGTTGGTTTTGCTCCCTGAACTTTTTGCAACAGGAACTTTTTAAACCAGAGAGTGATGAATAGCAAATAATGACTATTTGTTTACAAATACCCCACTTTGCATGCAAACATACATGTCCATACAAAGAACAGCCACTCCCCAAACAAGCGTGTGAACAAAACTCCATGTGGAAATGAATGAAAAAGGGCATAGATGTGGTCGCGCTGAACAAGCATTAAAAACTGGAATGAATGTTCATGACTACTGTATAATAAACTGGCAATGTTTGCCTGAAACACTCCATCCTGTCAGCAGGTGTTAATCGTGCTGAGAAAAAGTTCCTCTGTGGTAACTGGCTCATCACCCCTTTCAGATATAATGGT